CAGCAACTTGCAGTCCGTAGGTTCAGATATGGCTGCCACCCTCAAGCTCGCCTAACTTGAGGGGAACCCTAAAGTCACTCCTCGTCTTCCTTGAAGTCCAGATTCAAGTTGTAGGTGCCCTTCACTGTCGCCTCTCTCAAGTTGCATCACAAAGTCCCAACTTGTGTCTTGCCACCACAATCATGCACTCAAGCAACCTGGCCGGGTCTAGTGTCGACCCTACACGGCCCTGCCAGGTGGGGGCAGCTTCCCTTTACCACGCTGCCCCACTTAACCCTAACTTCTGCCCTAACCCTAAGTGGTTAGCCCTTACCACTAGGGTTAGGGCTATGGCAGCAAAGTCAACTCTCGCCAGCAAGTAGAATCCGCTCCGATACCAATGTTACGATCCTGGCCAATTTTGAAGTATACATTCATCAGAAAGTACAATGCCATCCAATTGCAAAAAGAAATGAATGAACTTGAGAGGAGAGAGAGGGAAAGAAGAAGAAGAAGTAAGAAAGAAGCAGAAGAAGTTAGAAAGAAGCAGAAGAAGTAAGAAAGAAGAAGAAGACGATGTACTCCAGCGTAGACCAATGGCAAGGCTCTTCTTCTTCGCGAACCAATTTCCTCCTCCTTATCTCCTCCCCTCTTATTCAAACAAGAAATAACAATAATAATGTTGAATTGCTGAACCAGAATCAATGTCCGAATCCCACTTCTACTGCAGGCACAACATGAGGTCCACCATAGCCATGGCCACCCTTCTCCTTCCTCGTCATTGCAGGCCGAGGCTATGGCGGACTACTGAGGCTTCAGCCTCCTGTCCTAAGGACAACCCAAAGCAGCTATGTCGCTGCCGCTTCAAGCAGCTATGCCGCTGCTCACTGAACCGCCATGCCTGACTCTACCCCTAGCTTCCTTGGTGCGGCACTACCCCAACGGGGGCCTTCCAGATGCAGCGCCTGACAAGGTGATGAAGATGGTGCCCACCATAGCCAGGTAGGTACCTCGCCACTCTCCCTCTTGGTCCCCTTCTCCCTCCTCCTCCTACCGGCCGAGCTCCACCATAGCTGAGGTGGAAGCTCCCGGCTTCTTCCTCCCAGCAGCGCTGTAACAGCCAGCGCTCTTCCAAGCGGTGCTCCAACAGCGTGACGCCCAACTCGCACACTGAAGAATGAGGCCGAGCTCTTCCCTCGGCCTCTTGATATAGCGGCCTGCTTGCCTCCTGGGCGGTGACTTCCAGGCCGCTCGGCYTCCCAAGCAACYGGTACCTCCTYCCKTTCGGAGGGAAACATCATTGCAGACTCTGATATTGCCYGTRCAGGCTCTAGACTCAGACTGGATGGACTGGTACCGGCCTAGACCTAGCCTACCGCTACTGGGCCTCTAAAAATGCCAACTTTGTCTTCTTCTGCTCAGCCTCGAGTACCCGGCACATCTACTGCTACTGGGTGCAGTACCGGCCTACCTGCTACTTGAGTGTTTTTCCGCTGCTCTAAGCACCACGGGCCCCTGGCTCCGCTACTTGAGTGTTTTCCCTGCTGCAACCCTCAATGCCACGGCCACAGGTAAGTTCCGGCCCTACGGGCCTACCAAACAAGCAAGTACCCTTGCGGGTCACACACACACTCATGCCGACAAGCACTCAGACAGGCATGCAAGTCAACAGGCACGCACACATACAGACTTAGAAAACACAGCAGAATGCGGGAATCTCAGCAAGGCATCCATTCCATCGGCAGAACGTCAGAAATCAGCAGTGTTCTCAGTCTGTGTTATGGCGGGTCATTACAGGACAGAAGCAACCTACAACTCAAGGGCAGAAAATGACAAAACAGAAACGCCCAGTGGTTCTATGACTACCCTACAGAGACTCTCACACTCAGACCTAGGGGTCAAGACCAATAAGGCTCACATGTACAAAGAAACACACAACCATGGTGCAGGTCACGGGCTCTAGTCCCGGAGAGCTCAAAACCAGCCAAAACAGATCGAAGTAGTGTACAGCCTGCATAACACTGCAATTCATTGCATCTCTCACATACAAAGAAAC